TGCTCGATCCTTAAGGTCTGGCACGAGGCCCTGGGAGCTTGGTTTTTCTCTAAAGTCAACTCTTCAAATTCTGACGCCTCAGGCCCGAGCTTGAGGCCAAGGCTCGAGTACCCTGAGGTAAGGCTTGAGCACCATTGAATAAGGCTCGAGCTCTGAAGGTACAAGGCTCGAGCTTTAATGCCTTGTTGATTTTCTTCTTTTTCTTACAGGGCTCAAGCCTCAGGACTTAGGTTCGAGCTCTAGTACTGGAATTCTTCCAAACTTCACCATTTAAGCTTTCAACTTGCTTTGAATGACCGACAACGACTGTGCAAGCTTTGATAGTAGTTTTTTCATTATAAGGTCCCGGTTTTAACCGTTTCTCTTAGTACCTATAAACACAAAATAAATATAAATTAGTCTTACAATGGATAGAAGTATCACTTTAGGCTTTAACGTACGTATATTTAGAGGCTCAAGTATGCAATATTCAGCGCTCATCACTCACCACCTCACCTATAATTGCACACACAAACAACAATGTTTTTTTGGTTAAGTTGCCAAGTGCATAGCATATAAATTCTCACTTTTGATATATAAATATATACTTTTCAATTTACACAACAAATACAGAACACCTATTTGGTATAAATACACTATTTTAGTTTTTTTTTTTTTTTTTTAGTTGTAACAGTGGTGTGATTCTTAAATTGTTACATTTTCATTTATGAATGATAGAAGTTTATCTTCAAATTGGTGCACATAATGGAGGAGTATAATGATGATTCTGTTGAACAAATTGTGGAGCAAGATTCTAGTAATAATTCAAACCGTGTTAAGAGGTATACTTCTCAAGTGTGGGAGCATTTCATGAAAAAGCCCGTTAAAGCTATTGATGAAAGTGCCAAAGCAACATGTAACTGGTATGATAAGGAGTATACTGTGAATTCATCAAGTGGCACTAGTAATATGATATGCCATGTTAACTGGTGTCCTAAACGTAATGCATGTGAGCCTCGACCTATTTCTGTATTTCAGTAAGGCACATACCAGGATATGGTGTCTTTTGCAATTATTAGGCATCACTATTAATTCAACTTTGTGGAACATGAAGGTACTAGAAAGCTTCATTGCTATTTAAACCTAGAAGTAAAATGCATTTCAAGGAATACCGCTAAATCTGATATATTGAAAATGCATGAGAGAGAGAAAGAGAAACTCAAGATTGATACATGATTATCACGGCTCATTATATAGATCAAAATTGGGTATCGAGGAAGAGGATTTTAAGTTTTCATCATTTGCCCCCTCCACATCATGGTCTAAACTTGGTAGAAAAAATTATTCATCTTTTAAAAGAATGGGGAGTTGAGAAAATAGTATTTTCAATTACTTTGGACAACGCATCGTACAATGATGGTTTGGTGGATTTCTTGATGAATCAATTTTCTATGACTATTAGCTTGTTATGTAAAGGAGGGTTTTTCCATGTGCGTTGTGGTACTCACATATTGAATCTAATTGTACAAGCTGGATTAAAAGTGATAGATGAGTCTATCCTTAAGATTCGTGAAAGTGTGAAATATGTAAGAGGGTTCGAGGGAAGAAAAATCAAATTTGCAGAATGCATTGTTTAGCTCTCACTGAAAGGTAGCAAGAAAGTGCGTCAAGATATGGTAACAAGATGGAATTACACTTATCTTATGATTGAGAGCGCATTAAGGTTTCGTCAAGCATTTTATTTACTAAAGTTGATTGACACAAATTTCAAAACTAGTCCATTAGATGAGGAGTAAAATAGCTAAGTTTTTGGAACATTTTTATGATCTCACAACCCTTTTTTCAGAAAGTAAGTATTTTACAGCTAATTTGTATTTTCATGGGGTTTGGAAAATAGAACTCCTCATAAATGAGCAGTTGAGTAGTACAGACACTGCTATACGTTCTATGGCAACGCAGATGAAAAAAAAGTTTGATAAGTATTGGGAGTGTTAAAGCATGGTGTTATCTTTTGCAATAATATTGGATCCCCGATATAAGTTGGAATATGTGGGATATTGTTTTTCAAAGCTTGATGAGGAGACATTTGAGGCAAGGGCTAAAATAGTCCTTGAGAATTTATATATGCTTTTTAAAGAGTATGTGCGTATCTTCTCTTTTGCAACCCCCTCTTCATTAAGAGCCGACATTACTAGTGATGTAGATAAAATAGATGTAAGTAAGCTCGTGCCATTGTGAATTATATTTATTTTCATCTTTAATATTCTATAATTTGTATTATACTAAATAAAAAATTTATTTGTAGGAGTTTGATACTTTTAGAAGTCGGCGCTATGGCTTAAATAGAAACAAGACACAATTGGATTTGTATATAAAAATTTAATGGGTCTATGGGTTAGAGCGGGTTGACCCAGTTTATTTTTGACCCACTTATTTTTAGCCCGTGTAGAACGGATTGAATATAAGTCTTGACCCATATTCGATCCGTCCATTTTCAATTCGATCTTTGGCCGACCATTTGCCACTCCTAATTATTGTAATCCACACCTTCAAACAACCACACCGTACAAGTGAAACATAACAACCAACTAATTGTAATTACGAAAGCACAAAAAAATGGGGTGAGGCCCGAAGGCCAGTTACAAGTGAAACACAACTACTGCCTAATGGTTACAAAGAGGAAGCAGTATTTAGGAATTCAAAAGATGGAAGAGATCTCAACATCTCCGGTGTTGAAGCCATGGTGTGATTCCAGTGAAATCATGTTCCATCTTAACTGACCATGCTGGGACTCTCTGGAATCTCTCATTGATAGAAAGTGTGTAGCTTTCCTGAGATGGTATCCATAATTAAGTTGACGATGCACGATTGCGAAGAGGATTTTCCTTTAAACAATCTTGCATTTTGGGTCGAGCCTATCGATCCAGTTTGAGACTTCCAGTGGTTGGAGCACCAAATTAACCAGAGAGATTCAATTGGGCATGGCTATATGGAACCCACAATGTGTTTGTATAAATGTCCAAATCGGTGCAGAGAATGGGCAGCTAAAAAAAACATAGATGGGAATGGGATTGCCAGTAGAACATATAAGGCGGGGAGCTGTTGCTGGACTGCTAGCCATAGAATGAAAGATTGGCGGGGAATATTGTAGGAGCTCCACACCAGAGAAGTCCAGTTGACTGGGGGATATGGTCCAGAGCACAGAGTCTGCGCGGTCAATAGAGGGAAGTGATGGAAGTTGGAAATCTCCAAGAATTGTGTGAAATGAATTCTCTTCGAGTGGCATCGGGGTCAACAGGAGAGTTTCTGAATGGATAAATGAGGGAATTGCAGAAGCTTTCCCCACATCTAACTGCATTGCTGAGGTATTTTTAGCTCCCAAACATATCCATGCTTCATTAATTATTGCTCTAATACCCATTTTGTGTGAGGACTATAAGTAAGTATTATAAAGAGTTCTTGCTGGTTTTCCAGATATGGTCACATTTGAAGCATATATATTTTTAATGCTACACTTTCGAGATGTGCATCACAAATCATAAGTGGCTTCTTCATAGTCCAAGTTTTCCACATGAATACACACAATATTTTCATATATGGGGTAATATGGAGTGATTTTAGGCTATTTTGCCACAGATAAAATTAGTGGATGCCATATAATGTTTTCCCAAAGTTCAAAACAGAGTGATTGCACAATAAAATCCTCAACCTGATCCAATTGTTACACAATGGGATGATTCAATTACAATTTTTCCTTTTCTTAATATAATCTAATTTAGTGGTTTTTTCCATGAGATCAAATCTGAATTACCGGTAATAAAATTAAAGTTTTTTTATTTTTTAATTTTTTTAATTTTTTTTAATTTTTATTAACATCATCGTTGACAGAAATGATAAGTCAAGTTTGTTGCATAGAGGTGACTGCAACTGATTTTCATTGAAAAAAAAATTGATAGTGAGAAAGAGATACGCATGGTTACAATATTTTCTCTCACTAAAAACCAATCTTCAAAATCAGACCTCTCCCTTCATATACATTTGCAGTAATATTCTCTTCCATATACACTCCATGTATAAGTCTCTCCCCTTTTAGCGTTTCTTCAGAGTAGAAAAGCAATACTGCTGCCATTTCGTGATGTTCATCATTTTCCTACACTTTCCGGTTGAGAAAATGAAGGAAAACACAAGTACTTAAAATATTGAACTTCCTTATTTGAGACATAAGATTCTCATTCAATTGAGCCAAATGAGATCAAACGATTTGATTGAGTTGGTTAAATCACTTGATAAAAACCAATACAAAGTAAGATAAAAAATGATGATGCACTTAAGATTACATAATTTAAAGCACAATATTACAATATTTGTATGGTTGAAGAATCCGCAGGCGGTCTTGGGGGAGAAGACAAGAATGGCTTGGGTGGGATTTGCAAGGACTCTAAGCTCCCTTCTAACATTTCCATCACCTTATTTATGGATGGCCTATTTGAGGGGTCAGTTTGTATGCACCATAAGCCAACTATTATCATCTTCCTTGCTCTTTCATTTTGTTCTACATTCATTATACCATACAATTCCAAATCGTCATCAAGCTCCACATGCTTGTATATCCAGTGTAGAAAATATATTTCATTGGTATGATCAACTCCAACATCAATATTCTCTCTTTCTCCATCCATCTCTAAAACCATCATTCCATAAGAACCTTCTTGAAAATACTTTGGGAGCAATATTCCTAACCGTCCCTCTTGCACCTAACTTTGATATGATACTCTCTTTCTTTGGGCATAGTTTAGAAAGAGACCGAAATCAGCGATCTTTGGGCACAAGTCTCCATCTAGAAGAATGTTACGAGGCTTAATGGAAAAGTGCAAGATTCTTGTGTTGCCAACTGAATATAACAAACAAAGGTTGAAATATAAAGGTGAAGAAGGAGTTGAATTCACAGCCAAAAAATTGCTCCCAAGTCCCAACGTAGACCAACATATGATAAAGTTAGACTTTTTAGACTAAGGGGGAACTTATCTGGAGTTGAAACCTTTTGCACTCACATTCAAGGTTTCAAGGTGAATCAGAAAGTCCAATTTTGTAAAATGATCATCCCCATTCAATCCTTTCCTTATACAACATTTTAGTTTGTTAAGGTTGGGCATCCATTTCAAGGCTTCTTCGTCTCCACTATAAAGATGCAGTTTGCCCAAGGTTTGTAGGTCATCCAAAACAAAGCAGAAGCCATCATCGGGTACTCTCTGGATCATAGTGTAGAGATGCCTCAACTTTTCCAACTTCCATACATTATGTGATAAAACTAACAAACCTTTTAGTCCTTCAACAATAAGGATTTTTAGGTTCAAGTGGTTGGATATTGATGGAGGGAAATATGCATCTTGTCTAATGTGAAGCGCTAAATACCTCAGAAGAACTAACTGTGAAATTTCCCATGGAAATGAAGGAAATTGGAAGGATGATAAATTCAAAACCTTAAGACATATGAATTCTTGATAAATGAATGGCGGATTCATTAGATATAAGTTATTGCACTAATCTGAAGGGCTAAAGGACAAGATAGAGCAGACTCTGGACGTATTGGCACATTGGCATAAGATAAATTCTCTGAAGAGGTAAGCTCAACAACATAGAATGAACACATATGTGATGTTCTGTATTTGCAATAATTGAAGGATGAGATCTATCAATCCACCAAAAATATACCTTTAGAATAACCTCCACTAATAAACTCTTTACGTAAGCTTCTTTGGAAATCGCATGAAGGAAGTTCTCTTCCTGACCTTTTCTCAAGCACAAGTGATGTAAGAGATCATGGAAACGACATGCTTTGATTGCACCATTAAATCTTTTCTTGGAAACAGTTACAAGACTTCTATCAATCGGATCCATCAAGTAATCTTCTGCCACTTCCTCCAAGCTTTTCTCGTCATTTTTCCATATGAATCCCTCAGTGTTCCACAACCATATCAATTGTCGCACAGGAATTTCAGTCTTCTGGGAATGCTCCAAAATAGAGAAAACATGGTCTCAAGTGCAGAGCAAGTGGTTGTAACTTAGTGCTAATGTGTCCATGTATTTCTCAGGGTCACGAACAATGTATGAACTTACACTTTCAGCAACATGCTTCCACCATTCAAGTGTCTTGTCTTTTTTGGCAAGAAGCCCAGATATTACAATAATTGCAAGGGGAAGTCCTTGACATTTTCTGGCAATTTGCTTTCCAGTTTCCATCAACTCTTGAGGGCAACTATCTTCCTGAAATGTCTTTAGTCGTAATAGATCCCAACTTTCATTTTCATCTAGAAAAAGCAATCAGTGAAATTTAGCATGCAAAGCTAAAGCCACACCTTCATGCTGACTAGTGAATATATTTCTACTTCCGTTTCTGTCATTTAGAAAATATCTTTTCAAATCATCCCAGGCGTGCACATTCCATATATCATCCACAACAAGAAGATATCTCCTCCCTTTCAAGCGTTTGTGCAAGTCTTCACCTAACTTCTCATCGCTGATCTGGCAAATATCATATCTAAATTGGAAAGCAACAAATCCCTTTTCTGATATACTTGAGACACATAAGTCCAAGCACGAATATGAAAGTAATATTGGATGAGAGGATGATTGTACACTTTTCTGGCTAGAGTTGTCTTAACCGAGTCCAGGCATTCCAACAATTGACACAACTTTTAATTGCTTTTCATGTTCTTCAGTAAACAGCTCCATTATTGTCGTTGCTTCATCATTGAAACCCACTATTGTTTCTTCCTGTAATGTTGGACTGATGGGTCTTGATGAAGCTCCATTAGAAAGCTTCCCAATTTGCTGGACCCCTATATATGATGCCATTGCCACACATCTTTAGGGTTCAAGGAAAGTGAGCTTTAGGGTAAGACAAGTCAAAGTCCATGTTCAAACAAAGTGAGCTTTAGGCTAAGACAAGAAAAAAAATATAAGAAATTTATGAAATAGTACTATTATTATTATTATTATTTTCTTATTCATGCAAGTAGCACAATCACTCATTTTGCCATTACAAGGATTGAATCTAGTCCAAATAGTATGGTTTCTCCTCTTCAAAGAGGGGGATTGAGTGTTCGAGCCTTATTAAGAGCAATATTGTGGGATCAAAATCTTCTCCTGTAATTTATCGAAAATAAATAAATAAATAAATAAAAATTTCTATCGTATTCTTTGATCCTAACACAATATTTTTATAAGGTACTTCTCTGGATTGTACAAGTTATACAGGAGAGAGAGAATCTTTTCTATTAGTATAGATGCCAAGATTCCCATTGTATATAACATATTCAGAGTTGTAATATTCTCAAATGGTAATGCCTTAACTACCAAGCAAATGGCATCCATAGAAGCTGGTTGCCGGCCTCTGAAGTCGAAAAACACCGATGTAATAGTTAATAAACAAGTATATTAAAATAATCAAGTATATTCCATGGTCAAAAGTTCAAAACTAATATTTCAATTTATACTATTGAAAAAACATATATATTTCTAAAACGGCAGCCGATTGTAGCTGTATATTAAAGTCCTTAAATTATATCAATATATTAGAAATTGTAATCTACCTCCCTAGATTGAGCACCCACAAATCGCAAGGTAGGAAGGTGGGAAATTGTGGACAGACTTTCAATAGTTTCTGTGTATGAACATTTACCCAAATTCACTTAGAACAATGGTAATCAAACAGTGTTCACGATTGCAAGCCATGTCTAGTACAGATGGGCAGATTATTTCTGAAGATTCTGTTGTTTCTCTCCATCCAAATATGATACACTTCCATTGTTAAAACTCTACCAGCTTTCAATTTTTGTTTCCAATTGGATGATGCCATATAAGGAAGTCATTCCATGAATATGGGAGTGTGTGGTATCCACATTTTTTTTATGAATCTTTTGCCAAATGAACTTTGAATATGGGCAGTGAATGAAAATGTGGTCATGACTTTCAGCAACATTGGCAAATAAAAACTGTGAGAATGAAAGATTGGTGGGGAATAATGGGGGAGCTCCACACCGGAGAAGCCCAGTTGACTGAGGGATATGGTCCTTAGCACAGACTTTGGGCGGTCAATAGAGGGTGGTGGAATGGTTTGAAGCTCAGGAACTAGGGAAGTGATGTAAGGTGGAAAGCACAAAGACTTGCCTAAAATGAATTCTCTTAAAGATGCATTGGGATCAACAGGAGAGTTCTGAATGGATAAATGACTGAGAAAGACTGGGTGGTCCTGTTGATAGCCAATTATTCAGTGCCGATTATATCCTTGATTAGTGGTCTAACTACAGCTCTGAGTTGAAGAAGTTTTCTCCACAATCAACTGCATTGCTGAGGTATGTTTAGCTCGCAAACACATCTATGCTTGAATTAACTGCTATGTGATCTTTTTATGTGAGGATTATGAGTAAGTATTATAAGGATTTCTTCTTATTTTTTCTGATATGGTAAAATTTAAAGCATGTGAATTCTTATTGCTACACTTTATGGTTGAGAAAATGAGGGAAAACACTAGTACTTCAAATATTGAACGTGAGACTACTTTTCCTTATTTGAGACATAAGATTCTCATTCAATTGAGCAAATGAAATCAAATGATTTGATTGAGCGGGTTAAATCACTTGATGAAAACCAATACAAAGTAAGATAAAAAATGATGATGCACTTAAGATTACATAATTAAAGCACAATATTACAATATTTGTATGGTTGAAGAATCAGCAGGCGGTCTTGTGGGAGAAGAAAAGAATGGCTTGGGTGGGATTTGTAAGGACTCTAGGCCCCCTTCTAACATTTCCATCACCTTATTTATAGATGGCCGATTTGATGGGTCAGTTTGTATGCACCATAAGCCCACTATTATCATCTTTTTGGCTCTTTCATTTTCCTCTTCATTCATAATTCAATGAAGTCCCAATTCCTCATCCAGTTCCACACGATTGTATATCCAATGTGGAAAATATATTTCACTGGTATGATCAACTCCAGCATCAATATTCTTTCTCCCTCCAACCATCTCTAAAACCATCATTCCATAACTATAGACATCTGACTTGTGAGATATCCCTCCGAAGCATCTTGAAACTACTTCTGGAGCAATATATCCAATCGTCCCTCTTGCGCCCAACATTGATATGATACTGTCTTTGTTCGGGCATAGTTTAGAAAGACCGAAATCAGCGATCTTTAGGAAGAAGTCTTCATCTAGAAGAATGTTATGAGGCTTAATGTCAAAGTGCAAAATTCTTGTGTTGCAACCCCGGTGTAAGTACTCTAATCCTCGAGCAATGCCAACTGCAATTTGATATAATGTTTCCCACCCTAATTGACGTTTTATTGAGGAACTTTCATCATAAATGAACTTCTCAAGAGATCCATTAGACATGAACTCATAGATGAGAGCTCTTTTGGTGCCCTCAAAACAAAAACCTAGAAGGGTGACAACATTAACATGGGAAGTCCTACTAGTGCTTGCTACCTCATTAGTAAATTCTTCCCCGTTACCTTTTGAATCGGTCAAAACCTTCACTGCCACCAAACGTCCATTTTGTAGCTTTCCCTTGTATAGACCTCCACATCCTCCTTGACCAAGATTGTACGCAAAAGAATTGGTCATTTTCTTCACATCTGAATAACTGTATCTTTTTCGGGCAAGGGACTCGTAGTTCTTCAGAACGATCTCAAGCTGTTGATGGTTCTCTCTTTCCTTCTTCCAAAAGATCATGGATATAACTAATGAGCATTTTCTCCTGAAGCGACAGAGTAGGATTACTGCTACTAGCAGTACAGCTGCTGAAATGCCTGTGATCCATAAAATGAGGTAAAGCCAACTGGCGCATGAATCTTATATGTAAAGAGAGAGTTGTATGAAATGCCTGTGATCCATAAAATGAGGTAAAGCCAACTGGCGCATGAATCTTATATGTAAAGAGAGAGTTGTATGAACACAAATAATAGGTTTGCTGATTTTAGTTTAGTGAATGGATTACCTAATGAAACTTTCTTCACCAAGTTATATAAATCATGCATGATCTATTAGAAATATCAATTAATTGAGGTATATTACCTGATCCTAGTGTTATTAGCAATGTGTACTTTCTTTTTCCTGCAATCAATGTCATACAGAACCATGTTAGATGTCACAAACTCACAATTATCATATCATTAAAGTGGAAAATAAATAAAGAATAGAAGGAAGAATAATGATTTTTGGATAAAGAAGTCGAATCCTTGGGAATTTCAACTTTTTCATAGGCCTTTGGAATTTCTGGACTATCTTTCAGATTTTTGGATGAAGAAGTCGAATCTTTGGGAACAAGAATTTCAACTTTTTCATCAACCTTATTGTCCACAACTCATCCACTCCGAAGTGTGGTGATTGCTTGAACTTGCTCAAGATTTGATCCACTTGGATGAGTGATCTCATCAATCATATACTGCCCTTTCGGGTTCACCACAGGTTGAGCTGGAAGTTTTCCAGTGTCCTTTTTGTGAAGCTGATTTATTGAATTAGCCAATTGTTCCAATTGAGTTTCAATATTAGCTATTGATTGAGAATAAGTACTAACCAATTGCATAGTTGATTGCATACCACTAATGGCAGCTATTATCTGCTTGTTTGAATTTACTAGCTTATCCAACTGGGATTGTTGTGATGGAACATGATTCTGACTGGAAAAATTCGCATTATATGAAGGAGGACGATAGCTTGAAGAAGCTTGAAATGGCCAGTTCATGGACTGAGAATTAGATTAATTTGATTACTCATAACCTTGGAATGATGAATTTTGTGGCGCTTGTTGCCATCACAATAATTTGGATGATCTTTCCAACCTGGATTGTATGTATTAGAATAAGAATTATTTCTAAGGCGAGAGAACATGGCATTAACCTATTCTGGCATACCTTCAGAAAATTGCTCCGGTGTGGGGCAATCTTCTGCATTATGAAAAGTACTTGTGCAATGTGTACACATAGCACTTGATGAAGAATTCTGAGAAGATGAGAGATGTGGTACCACAAACTGAAAAACTTTGTGGGCTATGGCATCCATTTGAGAAGATTCTTCCCTAAGAGTCCATGGTTGACACGGATTTGAGGGTTTAACCACATTCGATGTAGAAGATCTACGAGAACTATGTTGCATAAAATTTTCACTTATGTTCTCAAGTAGAGTCCATGCATCATCTGGATTTTTGGACATAAACATGCCCCCACATGAAGAATCGATTAATTGCCTATGTGGTTCTGTTAAACCATCATAGAAGGCTTGCACCAATTGCCACTTTGGAATTTGGTGGTGCGGACACTTCCTCAGAAAATCTTGAAATCTCTCCCACGTCTCATATAATATTTTCCCATCATTTTGGGAAAAACTAAGAATGGAACAATGCATTTGATTGGTCTTACTCACATGATAGTACTTTTTAAGAAATTCTTGTTGCAATTGGACCCATGAAGTGATGGAATTAGCAACAAGAGAGTTCAACCAATATTTTGTTCTATCTTTTAAAAAGAATGGGAAGAGAAACATATGAAGTGCATCTTGGGGGAAATCCCTCATCTTGATGGTGGAGCAGATTTCCAAAAACTAATCAAGATGTTTAGAATGATCCTCATTATCAAACCCATGATATGTTGGAAGCATTTGAATTATGATAGATTTGATCTCATAATGACGAGCCTCAACATTGGGCATGACAATGCATGATGGAGATATGTATGTAGAGGGTACAAAATGGTCTCTAAGAGTCATTGGTGCTAAATTTTCATTCTCAGCATTAGGATTTCTAAGATTCTCATGTTTAGTAGCCATTTTATTCACTTCAATTTCAAGTTCTCTTAAAATTTCAAGATCACTAAAGTTCCTTCTTTGCTGCCTAAGAGTTCTTTCAAGTAAAGCAATATCAATTGGTTCCTCAAGATGTGGTAAAGATGATGATCTACGACCTACTATCAACTATCAAACACAACAATCACAACAACCCTTCACCAATACATTCACATATATTGATCTCTTTCTTCTCAATTCAACAATAATGAAAACAAATTAAATTGGCCATGACAAGGACCTATGCTCTGAATAAAACAATAAATTTGCAATAGCCTTGACAAGGGCCAAACAAAGAAATAAATAAGAACTTAAAAAACTCACCCAAAGTCCTTAAGACTTCAAATTTCGCAATTAAATCTCCTGAAAAGTCTTTAGTCCCTACCAACACAAAAACATCAAAAACATGAAAATATATATACAATTAAACAATGAAGTAATTTTTTAAATTCTAATTACAAAACCGTATGCAATCACCGGCAATGGCGCGAAAAAGTTGATGCGCACAAATGTGTATCACTTAAAAATACCACTTATAATAATAGCACATTCATCATTGCAGATTAATCCTATAGTAGGGGGTTGTCGAACCACAAGGATTGCTAGTTTATTGCAAACAGAATTATAAAACTTCTTCTTCAATTTGATAATAGAGATGAAAAATCGATTGGTTTGTCACTTAACCTACGAATTTAACTTTTCATAAACATGGTAAACTTACACTCAACTTGGGGATTGACAATTATACATAGAAAATGATGTGTAGAAGCATAAAACTACCACAACATTGTCAAGAAGATCATACATTCAGGACTAAGCATAACCCATCTTTGGTTAGCATGGTTCATCCACCTAAACTAGATTGTGGTATGAACTATCTTCTCTAAGCATGGCTTATCAAGGTCAATCAATAGTATGTTGCAGCACATGAAATAAATTAAATATTATAGATTATCTTCAGTTGGTGTGGACCATCTACCTGAATACATTAATCTAAGGGTGTAGCATGGTCCATCTTCCTTAGGTATAACCTATATAAATGCTCAATTTCATGCCAATATAACCATTCCTTAAACTCTTTCCCATTGTCACTATAAGAAATCAAGTGTAATATTTGTATCAAAATGATTTCTAAGATAAGATAACAAATCAACACAAATATATATTCATATGATAAACACATGCATCAATTCAATGTAAAGTACATCAAGTCAATGTAAATACTTCTAATTTATGAAACTAAATATATATAATACAAATCCCAAAAATGAAATACAAATCAAAACATGTTTACTTGGTCTAGGTTACATCAACTCTCTAGAAAAGGGATTTAGCCTCTCATGAGTATGGCAGCAACCTCCAGGATTGAAGAAGAGAAGAGAATCCCCTGTCTCACCATTGTTGCAAGCTTAGCCTCTAAGAACCCTAAAAATCCTCCCTCTTTCTGTATCTTTTCAAAACCAAAACTAAGACTCTCCTCTTTCAGCCATTCCCCCTTTTTTTTATCCTTACGTGAGTTCAAAATACAAAATTCTAGTTTAAAATTCGAATCCCCCACTCAAAATAGAACAAAATCGGACTAAAATAACATGGGGGCCCGTGGTCTTGCGTCCGGACGCGAATACTTGCGTCCAGACGCCACAGCATGTGTCCGGACACGAGCTTCTGGAAGGTGGCGTCCGAACACCAGTTCTTGCGTCCGGACGCTAGGCATGCTACTCTGGCACATAATTCTTTCTTTAGTTCCGGTTGCATCCATCGCCTCTTCATGTCATTTCTTTTAGATGATTACTTGAAATGTAGGCCCGATATGACTTGTGCTTCAAAACCCTTTAAAACCTTATTCTTATTCCTTTTTAGTAATAAGACCTGCAAAAACACAAAAACCTAAAAATGTAGTTAATCTATATAAACAGATCAAATAATGGGCTTAACTAATGCAATTAAGGGCGCTTAAATATGCAATATTTGACGCTTATCAAGTAGCTTGTCAATGAAGGAATTATTCAAGTTGAATATTGCAAGACGGATGAACAAATGATTGATTTATTCACAAAGCCTCTTTGGTGGAATTTTATTCAAAAAGAATCTTGCAAAGTTGGGAATGAAAAGCAAATTTGGTTTACGGGAGGCATTGTTGGAAAAATAAACCAAATACATGAACCAACTCAAGTACTAAATACATGAACCAACTCATGTGTGGAATACATGCACCATCTCATTGGGAAATAAAACACTTGTGTTAAACTTATTGTTTTATTTATTGTCTTATCTTTTATGTCTTTCTAGAGTCATGTAATGATGCCTATAAATACATGTTTTTAAGTTCTTTTATAAGCAAGAAGTGAGAAAGAATATATCAGAATTTGTGAGTTTTATATAAAAGTTGTGTGTGTTCTCCCTCTTGATATTGAGTGCTTCCTACAGAGTTATTGTTGGTTTTTTTGATATGGTCATATTTAAAGCATATGAATTCTTAATGCTACACTTTATGTTCGAGAAAATGAAGGAAAACACAAGTACTTAAAATATTGAACTTGAGACTACTTTTCCTTATTTGAGACAGAAGATTCTCATTCAATTAGCCAAATGAGACCAAATGATTTGATTGAGTTGGTTAAATCACTTGATGAAAACCAATACAAAGTAAGATAAAAAATGATGGTGCACTTAAGATTACATAATTAAAGCACAATATTACAATATTTGTATGGTTGAAGAATTTGCAGGTGGTCTTGGGGGAGAAGAAAAGAATGGCTTGGGTGGGATTTGCAAGGACTCTAGGCTCCCTTCTAACATTTTCAACACCATATTTATAGATGGCTGATTTGATGGGTCAGTTTGTATGCACCATAAGCCCACTATTATCATCTTCTTGGCTCTTTCATTTTCCTCTTCATTCATAATTCCATGAAGTCCCAAATCCTCATCCAGTTCCACACGATTGTATATCCAATGTGGAAAATATATTTCACTGGTATGATCAACTCCAGCATCAATATTCTTTCTCCCTCCAACCATCTCTAAAACCATCATTCCATAACTATAGACATCTGACTTGTGAGATATCCCTCCGAAGCGTCTTGAAACTACTTCTGGAGCAATATATCCAATCGTCCCTCTTGCGCCCAACATTGATATGATACTGTCTTTGTTCGGGCATAGTTTAGAAAGACCGAAATCAGCGATCTTTGGGCATAAGTCTTCATCTAGAAGAATGTTATGAGGCTTAATGTCAAAGTGCAAAATTCTTGTGTTGCAACCCCGGTGTAAGTACTCTAATCCTCGAGCAATGCCAATTGCAATTTGATACAATGTTTCCCACCCTAATTGACGTTTTGTTGAGGAACTTTCATCATATATGAACTTCTCAAGAGATCCATTAGGCATGAACTCATAGATAAGAACTCTTTTGGTGCCCTCAAAACAAAAACCTAGAAGGGTGACAACATTAACATGGGAAGTCCTACTAATGCTTACTACCTCATTAGTAAATTCTTCCCCGTTACCTTTTGAACCGGTCAAAACCTTCACTGCCACCAAACGCCCATTTTGTAGCTTTCCCTTGTATACACCTCCATATCCTCCTTGACCAAGTTTGTACACAAAAGAATTGGTCATTTTCTTAACATCTGAATAACCGTATCTTTTTGGGGCAAGGGACCCGTAGTTCTTCATAAAGATCTCAAGTTGTTGATGGTTCTCTCTTTCCTTCTTCCAAAAGATCATGGATATAACTAATGAGCATTTTCTCCTGAAGCGACAGAGTAGGATTACTGCTACTAGCAGTACAGCTGCTGAAATGCCTGTGATCGATAAAATGAGATAAAGCCAATTGGCGCATGAATCTTACATATAAAGAGAGTTGTATTTAATATGTTTTTCTTCGAAAGAATCAACACAAGTAATGGATTACCTAATGAAACTTTCTTCGCCAAGTTATATAAATCATGCCTAATCTATTACAAATATCAATTAATTGAGGTATATTACCTGATCCTAGTGTTATTAGCAATGTGTACTTTCTTTTTCCTGCAATCAATGTGATACAGAACCATGTTAGTGATGTCACAAACTCACAATTATCATATCATTAAAGTGGAAAATAAATAAAGAATAGAAGGAAGAATAATGATTTGAGTGTCAAATAGATGGCACTTGATTGCATTAAAATATCTGTTTGATTGATTTGAGTTTCATCTTTTGATCTATGTTTTCAGTCATACAATGTATGGTCTCTGCTAAAAAAAATATTATTGTTGATGATGAAGATGAGATTCTTTCATCTGGATGAATTTCTTACATTTCTGGCCTACAAAATAAAAGCTACAGAAGAAGAAAAATAGAAGGAACTCATTGCACCTGAAGAAAATTTTTGTAATCACCCATTGGAGGGGTAAATTGAGGATAGTGGCACTTGAAGAATGTGTGATTGTATGTGATCCTGAAGGAAATGAAAGGAAGCTTGGGAAGAGTTAAATTCTTGACAGTTTTTGTTGGACAAGTGATGGTGAAGCTCTACATCATGAATTTTAACCAACAAAAAAAAAAAAGCTCTTCATCATGAATTTCAATGATTTATTCGTCTAACAAAATACCAGTGTCCCTCCATCAGTTGGACTATTGGAGCTTCATCACACTTATCTACCACGAGTCCAAGTTGGGGATGCGTGCTATTGGTGAAAGGGAAGCCGAAGGAGCCAAGTTTTTTGCATTTGAGAGACGGTGGGCAAGAAAGTTTATAGTCATCTTCAACTGAGTGAAGAACCAGTAGTACTGGATGAGAGAGAAAGAAGAAAGCTAGGAGAGTGGCAATACCCATTCCAAGTTCCCAATTGTACAGTATCAAAATTAACTTAAGAGGAAGAATCAAATTCTATTGTTTAAAAAAAGTTAACATTCAGGGAAAAAAAAACTTAAGATGTTGACTTGGAAACTGATATGGAAGAGTTGCAGAGGCAGAGTCAGAGGAGAACCTATTGTGGTATTGAAGATCTTGATCTAGTTTGTGTGGATTACTTAATGCAGAAACAGTAGCGCATATATATATATGTGTGTGTGTATGTACAAGTGCTCATACCATTTTGACTTATATTTTAAAATGATTCACCCATATTCATTTTAAAGCAGGTGGATGCGGGTGGGTCAGTGAGTCATGAACCATTTTACCACCCCCAAGTGCAATGCCTAAGAAAAAAAAAAAAAAAAGGTTGTCGGAAGGTCGTAGCCCTCTGATTGGAAATTTTATTTTATACTTGGAAAAACTTGATTTTGCTATTAATAGGCACTTTAAATAACGGAAAGAAAGGAAATGAATTAGTTATTGGGCAAAGTTTCAATTGTTCAATGACCAGAATTAAACAAGATTGGAGTTAATTCAAAAGTCTAAAACAGCAAAAGGGTTATGGATTTTGCATGAAATGCGTGTAATTGGATGTACATTGTGTGAAATAATTGAGAGGGAAAAAAGAAAATGGGGCCAAGTTTCAATCTTACCATCTTCGTGAACAACATTAAAGCCCGCGGTAACTTCAGATTTTTATTTCAATGTCATTAATTTAGAAAAAGAGCTTCAAATCTCCAATCTGCTAATGATATTAGTTTTAACAATCTCAAAATATGAGAAGTCTTTTAAGAGCCCATTAGAGTGTATTATTTTCATCCACCTATTATATTTTGACTTTGTGAGGGTAATGAAGATGCTTTAAAAAGGGTGACAAAAAGAGAAGGGATATTGTTACACCCATCCCATAAAGCCTATGAAAAAAAGAGTCAAATGTACCAATGCAAGCACAAGTACAACAAACTGAATTATTAATTTTTTAGTTTTTAGGAGGCCATATTTTTATTTATTATTATTATATTGTTTTTGGGCATTTATAAGTGCGTTAACCTACAAAATATGTAACCACATAACAAGAAAAGATTGAATATAATTTTTAACGGGCCATGTGATTTCAATATCTATCCAAAGTCATTCAATTACTACTTTTTGACAATTACATGGGAGTTCATCTTTCTAATGGGTTTAGGCTATGCACACGGAATTGGGTGTAAAGAACCAATTAAAGGTGTTAAAAGAGAGTCCTATTGTTTGAAGATCTTGAACTAGTTTGTACGGATTACTTAATGCAGAAACAGTAGCATATATATATATATATATATCTATATATATAGAAACACTCATACCTTTTGCCTTCACATGACATTGAAACTCTTGATGGATATTTAGGCATTGGCCTCCACTGCTTTGACATCAAGACAATCATGGGATATATGCAATTCAAGAGGGACAGTTGCAGTCAATATTGAAAATGGGTGTCCGGGGGTTGGAGACCACAATGATATTGGCAGCTGAATAGCTGAACATTCATGGAGAAGACTAGCAGGTGGAGGTTCGTCATAACCTGGATAATTGTAATAAATTGAGTAGCCTATGCATTTGTTGTAACTAGTATACTCTGTTTGAGGAGTATTGTTGCACTTGAAGAAGGTGAGATTGGGTGTTATGGTGAAGGAAACGAAAGGAAACTCGGTAAGAGTTAGATTCCTAAACGTGTCATTACATCTTTATGAGATATGTGATCTTCAAGCAGGGGATCATGAATTTCAAGCAATTTGTCACTTGGATCATAACATCATACCAGTGTTGGCTTCCTACTTGGACCTTTGGAACTGTTTGACCACAATCTATCACAATACCGCAATGGCCATACGTGGTATTTGTGAAAGGGAAGCTGATGGGGCTGTGAATTCCGCATAGGAAGGACTGTGGGCAAGTGGGTAGGCTTTTGGTATCATCTTCAGCTGAGTGAATAAGCGGTAGATGGGAAAGAAAAACGAAAGCAAAAATGGAGGCAATAGCCATTTGAAGTTCTCCATTTACAAAATTAAAAATCCAATTCTATTGCTTAAAACAAGTTAATTGTGTCCCTTCTTGTTTTTCGTTTATAGGAAAATGATATGGAAGACTTACAGAAGCAGACTCAGAGGAGACCCAAGACTTGCATTAGAAATGGGCGGCCTAGAAATGCTCGGCCAATGAAGAAGTTCCTCTCATTGTCTAACACTACAAAGTCCCCAAAAAAAAAAAAAAAAAAATAGAAAAAAAAACAAGAAGACTAACACTACAAAGACTTGACTCACACACACACTCTCTCTCTCGATTCTTAGGCGAAAGTGCCCAGAAGTGTACAGTAGTTATTTAGGTTTGTTTGAAACGTCAAAGCAACAGTACAGCAGAAGAAAAGTCTTGTCCGATGTGAGAAAACAAGTGGTGATAATAATTTTATTAGGGGTTCTTCTTTTTTCGTATACTTATAGTCAATTCTTTCATTTTCATTTTGATAGTCTCTGCGATTACATGGATTATACCTATTTACACAAATACCTCGACGATTCCGGCTCGTTAATACATAGAGTCCAATAAGCATATCTTGGGTTGGTACGGAAATGGGATCCCCAATGGCGGGAGATAAAAGATTCATATGAGAAAACATAAGCAAACGGGCCTCCGCTTGAGTCTCCAAAGATAAGGGTACATGAACAGCCATTTGATTCCCATCAAAGTCGGCATTGAATCCCTTACGAACTAATGGATGTAAACAAATAGCGCGCCCTTCTACCAAAATAGGCTGGAATGCCTGTATGCCTAATCTATGCAGAGTAGGTGCTCTATTCAGCAATACAGGATGCCCCTGCATAACTTCCTGAAGTATTTCCCATACAATCGGTTCTTTTTCCCGAATTTTACTCTTAGCAACCCCTATGTTCGAAGCAAGATGTTGTTTAATTAGACCACGAATTACAAATGTCTGGAAAAGCTCTATTGCTATTTCGCGAGGCAATCCACATCGATGTAATGAAAGTGAAGGGCCTACGACAATGACGGAACGCCTCGAATAATCGACCCGTTTACCAAGCAGAGCGAAATCTTCCCTCTTTGCCTTCAAGTACATCTGAAAATGACTTGTAAACTTTATTATGACCGTCCCTCATTGGTTGTCCGCGAATTCCGTTATCAAGAAGTGTATCCACGGCTTCTTGTACCAATTTCTCCTGACACATTACTAATTCTCCTGGCGTAGATCTACTGGTTGTTAATAGATCGGTAAGAGTATTGTTCCGATAGATAACTCTTCGGTAGAGTTCATTAATATCCGAGCTCATTAGTTTACCCCCATCTATCTGAATGATCGGTCTCAACTCGGGAGGAAGAACTGGTAATAGACACAAGACCATCCATTCTGGTTCTATATTCGTTCGAATAAAATGCTTAGCTAATTCCATGCGTCTAACCAAAAAATCCTTTCTTCTTCCAATTTTTCGATCTTCCCATTCATTCCCTGTGAGCCCTTCTTCCCCTAATTCTTTCCATTCTACCAAGGAATAATCTATAATAATTCGTAAATCTAGATCGGATAATTGTTCTCGGATAGCACCTGCTCCAGTAAAGATCTCTCGATTTCGAAATGTATCAAAGCCTTGGGTAGTAAAAAAAAGCGGGATGCTGTATTTCCAAGATTGGATTTCATATTCGAATGAACCTCGTAATCGTAAGAAAGTGGGTTTTTTAGCTATGGGCCTAGCAAAAGAAAAATTGGGATAGGATCCTATCAAATCTCCCCCTGCAAAATCGGACGTGAAAGTTTCCTTTCATCCGGCTCAAGTAGGTACACTAAATAAAGAATGGAGTTCTCGCTTTCAAATTCTAGAAAACCCCTAAACAAAAGATCTACTCCTTACTCAAGTTCCCAGTGCAGACTAAACAAGATTTGATTGATTCTTTCTTCTGTTTATTTATTTTTTAGATTTTCTGAATTCTTTATTCAATTACGACATAAATGAAATGTGAAATTCTTGAGTAGTCTACTTCCCTTCGAATAATGAATCCCCTTAATTAAAATTAAAGGAGTACTTTGGAATTCATAAATGATTTATTTGTCTATGTATCGTTCCATTCGATCTTTTAGGTCCCGACTTCACCTCGACGGTTATGCCACGATGTCTTTAAAGCCTATATGCGATGGATAGACTCCTGTAACCATGACATATTTGCTATTTGCTTACTTGAACAGAAACATAATTTCTTTTGAAAGAAAGAAAATGGCTAATTCCACAAAAGAAAGAAGTCTTTTTTTACGAGGTACAACTAGAAATTCCTATTTATTTGTTATAAAATCAACCATAGATCAATTTCCCCTTTTATTTTGGAGTATTGAATGCACCCATAATTCTGAGCTTCATGTTACTCCTCCCAAGAGACATGTCAGATCCGGGGCATCCCAATTGGATTGAATGGGATGACAGTTTCTCATTCCGAATCTGTAAAATCAGAATTTCGATCAAATCACACATCACAGTATACTAGGCCTTCTAATTCTTTAAGAGGTTTATCTAAAAGATTTGCAATATAACTAGGAAGACGTTTCAAATACCACACATGGGTTACTGGGCATGCCAGTTTGATGTAGTCCATTTGATATCTGCGTATCCGAGAATCAACAAATTCGACTCCGCATTGTTCACAATTTTGGGTCTTCCTTTTCATCTCCGATTACTCGATAATTTCAGCAAGCACAAATTCCGCTTTTTATAGGCCCAAAAATTATTTCACAAAATAATCCATCTTTTTCCGGTTTATTGGTTTTGTAATGAAAAGTGTAGGGTTTTGTTACCTCTCCAACTATCTCTCCATTAGGTAGGATTTTTTTGGCCCAAGCGCTTATTTGTTGAGGAGAAACTAATCCAATTCGGAGTTGTTGATGTTTATACCGATCGATCATAGAAGAAAAATTCTGATTCATTCCGATTAAGCTTCCTTCCTATTAATCTGTAAGTTCTTCTCAGATACAAGGAAATGATTCAGTTCCAGAGCCAAAGATCGTAGTTCTCGAACGAGCAATCGAAAAGATTCTGGAGCATCCTCAGGATTAGGTATTGTTCCTCCAACGATCGTAGTCCCAAGTACTTCTTGGCGAGCTCTAATATGATCAGATTTATAAGTAAGCATCTCTTGTAAAATATGAGCAACACCAAATCCCTCTAGAGCCCAAACCTCCATTTCTCCTACCCGCTGTCCCCCTTGCTTGGCCCTTCCTCGAAGGGGTTGTTGTGTAACAAGTGCATAATGGCCACTGGAACGTCCATGGATTTTATTATCAACTTGATGAATTAATTTCAAGATATAAGGCTTTCCTATTAGAACAGGTTATTCAAAAGGATCCCCCGTTCTTCCATCAAATATTCTGCTTTTTCCTGGATACTTGGGTTCAAATACTCATGGTTTCGCTATTTGCTTACTAGCTTCATATAATTCAGAAAACACTAGTTTTCTTGAAGCTTCTTGTTCATATCTTGCTTTTCGTTTATTGGAAAATGATATGGAAGACTTACAGAAGCAGACTCAGAGGAGACCCAAGACTTACATTAGAAATGGGCGGCCTAGAAATGCTCGGCCAATGAAGAAGTTGCTCTCATTGACTAACACTACAAAGTCCCAAAAAAAAAAAAAGAAGACTAACACTACAAAGACTTGACTCACACACACTCTCTCTCTCTCTCTATTCTTAGGCGAAAGTGCCCAGGAGTGTACAGTAGATATTTAGGTTTGTTTGAAACGTCAAAGCAACAGTACAGCAGAAGAAAAGTCTTGTCCGATGTGAGAAAACAAGTGGTGATAAAAATTTTATTAGGAGATTTTGTCTTAAAGAAACAAAGGTATTGTTATGAAAGCAGACCATTGGAAACTTTATCTTGTGGGGTCGTCTTAATTCATTGCCACAGGTAAAGCTAAAGATAATAGAATCAATGGTCATGGATGAATACTTGGGACAGGTAAAGTCTCTCATTTTTATTTTTTTATTTTTTCACGTTATGCCCGTATGTGTATGTAACTTTCTATTCTCTTCTTATCCTTTTTATTTTTCTTCTTCTTATTTAAATTGTATGATTTTATATATTACTTTCAAAATAAAAAGACCTACAACTGAATAGAAAGATTACCAATCAATATTCATTTGAAGTTCTCAATTTACAAAATTAAAAATAACCACGAGAAGGAATCCAATTCTATTGTTTAAAACAAGTTAATTGTGTCCCTTCTTGGAAAATGATATGGAAGGCTTACAGAAGCAGACTCAGAGGAGAACCCAAGATGGGTACTGTTACATTAGAAATGGTCGGCCTAGAAATGCTCGGCCAATGAAGAAGTTTCCCACTCATTTCTCCCATTGACCAGCACTACAAAGACTTGTCTAACTTAAGCGAAAGTGCCCAGAAGTATACACTAGATTTTTAGGTTTGTTTGAAACATCAAAGCAACAGTATACAGAAAAGTCTTGTCCGATGTGAGAAACAAGTGGTGAGAATAATTTTATTAGGTCATAAAGGTCTTGCTATGAAAGCAGACATTGGAAACTTCATCTTGTGGGGCTTAATTCATTGCTGTCTCTCTCTCTTTTTTTTTTTTTTTTTTTTTTCTTAAAATTCTTCTTTTTGCACATTGTGCATGTATGTAGTATGTCACTTTTCTATTCTCTTCTTATCCTTTTTATTTTTCTTCTTCTTATTTAAATTTATTATTGTAATTTTATGATCTCAATGAGTATAATTTCATGCATCACTTTTAAAATAAATAGACCTACAACTAAATAGAAATATTACCAATCATTTTTTAGGTTCTTATGTTTGTCAAGTATTTATCGTTCTTATACTATCCATTGATTAGAATATTATTTTGCAATGATGTATTACTTATTTGCCTCTTGATTTGAACAAATTATGCTTGTCAATCTTAGGCATTTTTTTTTTTTTTTTTTTTTTTTTTTTTAAAAAAAAAAACAATGTGCAACCACTGAATTGAAATCCTTAGTGTTGGCTAATTTGATATTGTCATTCTTGATTAGCAAACTGGGAGTCCCAAAGTTCTAATTTGATACTGTCATTCTTGATTCATAGATATATAAATGCATACAAGTTGCAAACATAGACAAACAGAATATATGTACAAATGCAAAATATCTGAACACCCTTTTTTACACAGGTAACAATAAATCTAGTAAAAGAGAAATTTTCATCGTGGAAAAGTATTTTGTCTACTAAATTTATTTATGAGATACCTGACCCCTTTTTAATATTTCATTTATGGTATGCCTGGCCACTCGTTAGTACTTCTAAATTTCATAACTGGCCGTAAACGAT